ACTGATATGCTGTGGGGTGTTTATTTTCTAGTCCTGTCTATTTGTTGTGGGATGTGCTTCTTGTATTTGTATGGGGATGTCTTTCCTCAACCATGTTTAAATGGATAGATCTAGAAATTGTTATACTAAGTGAAGTAACACAGACTCAGAAAAACAAAAGACATATGTTCTCCCTCATATATGGATCCTAGCACCAAATCCTTATAAGTGAATGCACATCCTGATGGAACTGCAGGGACCAAGAATATGGAAGGGAAGCAGGGAGGTCAAGTGAAAAAAGAAACCTGTGAGAGAAGAGTAGCAGGATAAAAAGGTATTACTACTGGGAAATATGCAAAAAGGGGGATATTTAAAGGGGAGGGGGTGAAGGAGGGCTATACAAAGAACTATGGGAATAAAGGGGAAAAATTTCTCCAGATACACAGTTTTTAAAAAAGCCTTAAACACAGAAGGGACCCTACAGGAATGGAAGAAAGCCCAGAAGCAATACAGTTGTTAAAGGAAAATCCCAGTGCCAGAAGTGGGTTGTCCCCCTATGAGCTGTTGGCCTGAGGGGCCCTGGAAGTCCCCAAAACAATAAAGGCCATTGCCAATAATGTTGGCTGTACACTGGAAGAGGACGGAGGGACACTTTTGCTGAACACACTGCTTGATGTGAGTGCAGGAGAGGGAGAAACAGAACTTGAACTAAGTTGGAAACTCCCTGCTACTGGATGGGTCGGCTTTCATGGTGCCAAAGGGCAATATGCAAGATGCCTAGGGGAAAATCATCCCCTATAATTCTGCTCAATGACGGACTCCAAGTGTTGCACTATCAACATACCAAACAAGATGTTCCTGCTGGTGCAATAGTGGAGTGTCTAGTGTATGTACAACCAGCAAACTTTTGATTGGATATGATGCCTGCTCCTAGGGGTGGAGCATACATATCTGGTACTGTAGACCAGACCAACCCCCTGTGGCAAGAGAGAATATAGGCCCCAGTGGGAAGCCACTGCAATTGTTTTGTTAGATGGTTGTGATGCACCTGAAGTACTGCCCAAGTATTTGTGTTTACACCCATAGGTTAAGTTACTATAGAAGCCACTGTTTAGATATTCTTGCTTCAAGATGTTCGTAGTTTTTTAAAAAATATTTTTATTATTTCTATTTTATGTGTATGAGTGTACTGCCTGCATGTATGTGAGTGGACCCCTGTCGTGCAATGCCGTGGATGTCAGAAGAGGGCATCGAATTCCCCCTGGAGCTGGAGTTAAGGATGATTCATAGTCACCATGTTGGTGCTGGGAATCAAACCCAGGTCCTCTGCAAGAGCAGTCAGTGGTCTAAACCGCTGAGCCATCTCTGCAGCCCCAATGTTTGTGTTTTTATAGTAGATGGAATCCCACTGAAATGGGCCAACAGCCCATGGAAAACTGACAGTGCCGAGACTGAAACTTCAGTGCCTTGACACAATAGGAGGAAGACCATCCCACACCTACCACCCCCTCCAAGAGCTAGAGGAAGGGGTGGAGTGTTAACTGGAAGTGTACTCGGACTGTTATACTGGCAAGCTATAGTCACACCTCCTTCCCACACTCACCAAGGACTCCAGGGGGAAGTCAGTTACCCCTCTCACTCAATCATTCGACCTTGGCTGCATGTGGGGGAGGGGCTAAGGATAAATGAGTGTCAAAGCACGGAGGCCCCTCACTATTTTCTGCAGCTGCAGGAAGTCACAGGATCTATATTTGAAGGTGGACTTTCCACTGCAGCCATAAATAGGGGGTGTCCACTCCTCTGTAAATAGACCCCCACCTTATGCTCTGTTAAAAAAACAAAAAACTTTGTTGCTGATATTGCTATTAATCTATGGAGAAGAGATCTTTGATCTCAGTGGAGATTGTCTCTTAATATTGAACATAATCAAAATTTGTTTCAAAGGCCACGGTTTCACATTATGCCCTGTCTCTAAAATGGATGACTAAGATTCCCATTTGGGTGGAACTGTGGCCTCTAAAGAAAAATTACAAGGTTTAAAAGAATTAGTGGACAAACAGCTGCAGGCAGTGTGCATACAGAAGAATCTACTAGTCCATGGAACACGCCAAGAAAAAAATCAGATTTAAGAAAGTTAATGGCCAGGCATGGTAGCACACTCCTTTAGTCCCAGCACTCAGGAGGCAGAGGCAGGAAGATCTCTGTGAGTTCAAGGCCAGCCTGGTCTACATAGCAAGTTCCAGGCCAGCAGGGGCTACAGAGAGACCCTGGTCTCAAAAAGACCGAAAAAAAAAAAAAAGTTAGTGAAGTTATCGAGCCTATTGGAGCATTTCAACGAGAGTTGCCCCAACCTAATATGATTCCTTTAAAATGGCAAATAAATATAGATTTAAAGGGATTTTTTTTTTTTTACAATTCCTCTTCATCCACAAGACTGTGAAAAAACTGAATTTACTAGTCCCACAATCAACAACCAATAACCTACTAAGAAATAGCAATACAAAGTACTTCGTCAAGGTTTGCTTGATAGCTCTACACTGTGCCAATGTTATGTTACCCAACATATGGAACAAGTCAGACAATTATATCCTAATAGCTTAATGATTCATTACATGGATGATATTTCATTTCCTCACCCACGTGAAAAGATTTTATCAAAATTGCATTTATAGCCTGGCGTGGTGGCACACGCCTTTAATCCCAGCATTTGGGAGGCAGAGGCAGGTGGATCTCTATGAGTTCAAGGCCAGCCTGGTCTATATAGTGAGTTCCAGGACAGCTGGGGCTACAGGGAGACCCTATCTCAAAAAGACCAAAAAAATAAAAAATAAAAAATAATATTATGCACATCTCATAGTAATCATGACAATAAATAACTATAATTAGTTTATGCATTTACTATACCTTTTCCTTCTAGTTTTTTGAGACAGAGCCTCAAGTTCAGGCTGGCCTCAACCTTGCTGTGCAGCTGAGAATGCCCCTGCCTGTGCCTCCTGATTGCTAGGATTATTGTTGCCATGCCTGGCTCCTACTATAGTGATTTGGAGTGTGTTCCTACTCTTATTATAAGATGGGATGCTATGTTATGCCACCAGCATCCATCTACATCTCCTGTCTGCATCTTGATGTACTAACAGGTCACAGAGTGATGAACTTACCTGTACCATCTACATTTGCGCAAGCACAATCCAGAATAATTATTCAATGTCAAAATATATTCAGTCTGAGAATATAGTCTCAGAATATATTCAGTGTTTAAAATGATGCATATGCTTTTGCAAAGCAGATCGGTCATTCTCAAAGGCTGAGAGCACCAGGAGTATTCCTTAATCTCAAAGGTCATGTACCAAAGTCATCTGACATTTCAAATAAGGAGGAAGGACAGACACATCCCCACAACCAACATGGCTTGTCAACAAAGTAACAGGCCAGTGCTTTCCAAGTGAAGACCTATAATTTGCTAGTGATAGTTTTATCAGGATACAGGACTGAAATGAGTCAAACATTCAGATGCTGACCTCTCTCTGTGGAGATCTGAGATTTTTGCTCCTGACAGTTCTTCAAGTCCTGCCACTGACCCAATGCAAACTACCTGTGAAAAACAGTTAAGAGCAGGAGCTCCTTAGAGCCAAAGAGATCATGCTGAGTTAATTTAGGTAGCATTCTGTTTTCAGAAACCTGATTTTCTTTAAAAACTTACTAATATACCAATTTGGGCTGAAGGACAGTTATCATCTATATGGCTTATCTCTCACAAAAGACCAGAAGTTGCCCCCCAAATAAGCAAGTGCTGACTTTGCCACTTTGTTACCCACCCTTTTTCCACAGGGTCCCTGTATGGACAGGATTTTAAACATCACAGCCACCATCTCAACAGGTATTTCTGAGCCATTTACTGTCTAATATACCAATTTGGGCTGAAGGACAGTTATCATCTATATGGCTTATCTCTCACAAAAGACCAGAAGTTGCCCCCCAAATAAGCAAGTGCTGACTTTGCCACTTTGTTACCCACCCTTTTTCCACAGGGTCCCTGTATGGACAGGATTTTAAACATCACAGCCACCATCTCAACAGGTATTTCTGAGCCATTTACTGTATGCAGACCTCGGCCTAAAATACATGAAATGTCTTGCACTACTGCTGTAAGCTATCTTACTTTCTTCCTGGCACCTGGACCTGGCTCTTCAATCTGGAATCTTCTCAAGACAAGACTAGAACTAAATTACTGTGTTTGGACTACATTAAAATAAAATCAGCCTAAATCACAAGATGTAAGGGTCATGTTTAGGTAAACATGAGGATGGAGCTAGTTAGATCACCCAGAATGAGAGTCATCTAACAG